AGCCATTACAAACACCAATAATATTACATTTGATAAGATTGATAAGAATGGGGTCAAAAACTTGTGACCTAATGCACGGAGTGAATGTGTAGGAATACCAACTAACTTGATTGATTAAAATCATAAAGTCAAAAGACTTGTAACCTAATACACAGAGTTGTTTGTGTATGAGAATGCCAACTTTAGCCATTTACAAACACCAATAATATTATATTTGATAAGATTGATAAGAACAGAGTCAAAGACTTGTGACCTAATGCACGGAGTGAAAACGCCAACCAAATATTGTCTACTTTATTTGTCAAAAACTTGTAAAATAATGCACAGAGTTGTTTGTGTGTGGGAATACCAACTAACTTGATAAAGTCAAAGACTTGTAACCTAATACACGGAGTTGTTTGTGTATAAGAATGCCAACTTTAGCCATTACAAACACCAGTAATATTACATGTGATAAGATTGATAAGAATGGAGTCAAAGACTTGTGATCTAATGCATGAAGTGAAAATGCCAACCAAATATTGTCTATTTTATGCACAGAGTTGTTTGTGTGTGGGAATACCAACTAACTTGATTGATTAAAATCACAAAGTCAAAGACTTGTAACCTAATGCATGGAGTTGTTTGTGTATGAAAATGCCCAACTTTAGCTATTACAAACATCAATAATATTACATTTGATAAGATTGATAGGAACGGAGTCAAAGACTTGTGACCTAATACACGGAGTGAAAATGCCAACCAAATCTTGTCTACTTTATTTGTCAAAAACTTGTAACATAATGCACAGAGTTGTTTGTGTATGGGAATACCAACTAACTTGATAAAGTCAAAGACTTGTAACCTAATGCACGGAGTTTTTGTGTATGAGAATGCCAACTTTAGCCATTTACAAACACCAATAATATTACATTTTGATAAGATTGATAAGAACGGAGTCAAAGACTTGTGACCTAATGCATGGAGTGAAAACGCCAACCAAATATTGTCTACTTTATTTGTCAAAAACTTGTAAATATTAGAGATAATTGATTATTGTTGTCACATTTTAGTTTTTTTTATGTTGTCACATTTTAGTTGTTTTTATCTTTTGTAAATAAAACAATATTCATCGTTCTATAAATGAATTTCTATTGTAAAATAATTATAAATATTGGTTACCGTTACCAAGTTTTTTTATGAATTTCATGTAGTTAGCCATGAATAATATTAGGTTACAAGTCTTGTTGAAATTTCTTGTTTGTTCTCATACACAAACATCTGGTTAGTGCTATCTGCAAAACTCTGTGCATCGATTACAAATATGTATTACTAAATTTAGTATCTTGGCTAGACCACTTGAAAAAAAACTTTTTACATATGAGAGAAAACCTGTAAATCATTTTACTCAATGAGTAAAATGATTTACAGGTTTTACTTTTTCGTCACTCATATTTAAAAGAATCTAATTGTTAATGATTATCGACGTATTTCCCATTCTAACTTTTTTGATTCCTAAACAGACATAGGTTGGCTGATTATAAAGAATGTTAATTCAAAATTTTGTGAAAGGGAAGTAATTAATTTGATTTATTGTTTTTTGAACGATAATTTTATTCAATTACTAATGATTTTTTTCTTTTTTTTTTGAGAAAAAGTAAATATGGAATGGTCATTTTGACCGTTCTATCCGATTCGTACGTTTGCAGAATGGTTTTGATATGGAGATGGATTGCTATATTGGCCGCTCCATAATATGATTTTGCTGTTCTCAATCAATGTGGGATGGATTGCCGTATCGGCTGTTCTACATTAATATTCATTAATATTTTCACTGCTCTTTAATGATGAAAATGAGTGCTGAGTCACTCAAGTTAAATTCTGATAAGAGTTTTAAAATATTTGTATTAATTTTTATTTCTTAGTAGAAATTTTTTACTTAATTAATCTCAAATAATATAAAAATGAACGTTTTTTATTTGAAAAGTTTATACAAATTATATATTTTCGAAAGTTCGCATAAATAAAATATTTGAAATTTCTTATGCAATATCAATACAGTATATACCGAGCGTATTGATCTAATGAATTACTACATAGAAATATTTCTTCGTGCAATCTATTCACAGTTTTTTTACAGTATAATAAAATAATAAATATATAATCAAGTTAAATCGTTAACGTCTCTATTAGATATGTTAACTGACCTTTTGACTAATATTTATTAATCAGTTTTATAATAATAAGATGATGATAATACATCTGAAAACCAAATACATACATTTGAAGCTATAGACTCAACATTCATGTAATTTGACTCAGTGGCCAAAATTAATAAATTTCTACTTAATAATGATATGTACTACAACCTCTATATTTATTATTGTTTTTATTATAACATAAAACAATGTAACTTGATACATTTCATTCTCAATTCCTTTTATTTTATTACACCAAAAACTTTATCAAAAAAATTCTTCTCTTCTATCATTTAAAAGCTATGAAATACTACTATGAAATGTCCATATCGTCATCACTTTCTTCGACTTTATCGTCACCATTTTCTTCGTCATCACTATTTTCTTCACCATCATTAGCCTCATTGAAACTATTTTCTTCACTATCATCACATTTATCGCCGTTATTTCTTTGATTTGAGTTGGAACATTCACCAGTATCTTCTTCATTAACAATAAACGAAAATGTATGAGGCAATGAAGTTCTTTAATTGCGTTTCCTTCATCGTCAATTTCAACTATTTTTTCGGAATTATTTGTTGCTTCAAAGGCCTCTTCAAAACTTTTATAGCATTTTCGAGGAGCCGAAACTTGAATTAATCCGATTCCGTTAGAAAATAATATTCTATTTACTGTTTCAAAATCTTTAAAGAGCTTAATTTTAGGAATAGTGAAGAAAAAAAAACTTAAAAAAAGGATTTAATTACCAATAATACTATTATCTTGAAATAGAAAGACAATTTCTTCGATAATTTGACAAAGTTTTCTTATTTCATTCTCATATTGATCTACATTATGATTATTTATGTTAATTGAATGCGCAATGACTTCTCTTATTGCTTCGTTTTCCTTTCTTAGAGCGTTGACCTCTTTTCTTAGGGCTTTATTTTCTTTAATTAATAAATTTGACTTCGTTTGAAAATAATCAGCTTTCTTTTCTAAAATATTGTATCGGTTGCTAAATCTCTTAATTTCATTAGCCATTTTAACTATTCAAGACTTTAATGCATTAAGAATTTCAGTATTATTAAAATACTCATCACTTGAAATTTCTCCTCGTTTTAATTGACGTTGATAAAATTGGTTTGTTTTTAAAATATAAGTTTTGAAGGTATTTTTAATTTAATCTGGAGTTGATTTGGGTGAAGTAAGAATATTTTTTAACCATTTTTTATTTGAGCCTTTTCGGGGCATGTTTTTGT